CTGTTTGTGCAGAGACTCGTGTTAGAAAATGGGTTGATTGTGTCACATCTGACTAAGAAGACGCTGGTCACAAAGGGTCACATATACAATGCCCTTCGTACGAAATGCTCAGGGTAGGTAAATACACAAAGAAAGTAAGCAGATTCGTGACTGCCCAGAGCTGAAGGGCGCAGTCTGGGGAGAATTTAGAGGCAGGTGTGGACACAGTTGCACAATTTCACACTATTCTAACGTCTGTGGAACGGTCCACTGTCATGTGATGTTTTCTCTGGCATGTGAGTCATAGCTCAATCAAGCTTCTATGCTGGAACAAATAAACAAACCCCTGGGAATTTGTAAGCATTTTTGGCTCTAAAGCACTGTCCGCGTTTAGAGTGAATCTCAGCACCACCTGGATGTGTGCAATGAAACCTCCTGGACCTCGCTCTTCCCCTTTCGCTGTTTCCCAGCCAGGCATTCTGGGATGGGGCTGAAGATTTATATGCTGAATGCAGTCCCACTTTCTAAGTACTGCTAAAAAGTAATATTTCTCTCTCTCCCTCTCATCCTACCCCCACATGCATATCTGTATATGTTTATGTGTGTGTAGACCAGAGACAATCTTGATTTCTAAGGAGCCACCTATCTTGTGTTTGAAGACAAAGTCTCTGCTTGGATGGAGCTCACCAAAAGGAAGCGGCAAGCTGGTCAACAACGTTTAGGGAAAAGTGAGTCTCTACCACTTCACCACTGGGATTATGCTTTATAAGTAATGCCAGGCCCTTTACAATAGTGTTATGGATTCAACTCGGGTCTTCATGTTCATGCAGTGGGCGTTTTACCAGCTGGGAAGTCTCCCCAGGCCCTAAAAAGAAAACTTTTAAATAAGAATATCACTTGTCACAAACCAAGCCCCGGCTCCTCTTTCATGCAGTGTATGTGTGGAGTAAGCTAATGCTTGCTGGGCTATACGAGCTTGAGCAGCAGCTGGAGTCAACCAAGGCTAGCCCTTCTCTGGGGAAGTACACTTATCCATCACTCAATATAAGTTCTGCTGCACAGCACCAGGGGCAATGTGTGGCTTTGGGAGCTGTTTATGATGAACAGGTGTGGACAAAACTCTGCAATCACCAGCTCCTGGGACTGAAGAACAAGCGAACTTTGGTGGAAAATGAAAACCCTCCTGTGGCTGCGATTCAATGAAGTATGTCTTGATTCTCTGATTTATCTTTTTTTTTTTCGGGTTCATGGCAGAACATATTGGCCTTGCAGTCCTATTAGAACATGTTGAATTAGCATGCTACTCTTTCTACTAAACAGGGGTGTTCTGAGCTGAAGATCCACTATATGTTTCAAGGGGAACATCCACTGTAGATACCCTTTTCTTTCTCTCTCCTTTCCTTCTCTTTCTGAGGCGTGGCTCCACAGAGTACCATCTGTATGACCTTGTCACAATATTTTTTCACAGCAATGTTTCTTCCTCAAGTAATTGCAGAATGTCCACTGTGGTCTCTTGCATTCCTTTAACTGGTTTACCTTCCTTCCAGGTGTGAAGGCTAAAGTTATGTTTTACATTTAAGTGACTTTGCTTAAGAGATCTACAAAACAAAAACACTTCTAACCTTAAGCCCCACTTGCCCAAAGACAGATGACATCCCAGAATTCTGGGGCTGTTCATGTAAGATAACAAGCCTCGTGTTTTCACTTCTATAAACAAGTTTGGTTGCCCCAACTGCACAGAATGTGCTTGATCACACATAGATGGGAGGTACATAGACAGGAAGTACATCAAGGTTTAAGTTTGCCAATGGTTGGACAAAGGCAGGAAATGCCTAGTCTTGTATGTTTTGCCTTTATAAGCACTGTGGTGGTTTGATTAGGAATACCCCCATAAACTCTTGTGTTTGAATGCTTGGTTTATAAAGAATGGCATTATTAGGAGGTGTGGTCTTGGTGGAATAGGTGTGGCCTTGGTGGAAGAAGGGTGTGGGGTTGACTTGGAGTTCTCATATGCTCAAGCTACACCCACTACACAGTCTCCTGCTGCCTGCTGATCAAGATGTAGAACTTTCAGCTCCTCTCTAGCTCCTTATCTGCTTACACAATGCCGTGCTTTTAGCCATGATGATAATGGACTAAGCCTGTGAAACTGTAAGCCAGCTGCATGTTTTCCTTTATAAGAGTTGCCATGGTCATGGCTGTCAGTCTGGAGTCAGTGAGCTCTCATTAGCCTCAGGTCAGCTGTTCCTGTGGGTTTCCCCATCATGGTCTTGGCCTCTTGCTTGTAATATTGCTCTTCCCTCTCTATGGACTCCAGGAGTTTGACCCAGTCCTTAGCTGTGGATCTCTACATCTACGTCTATCAGTTACGGAATGAAGGTTCTGTGATGACACTTAAGGTAGTCATCAATCTGATACAGGGGAAAGGCATTTTAGGTACCCTTTCAAATATTGCTTAGATTCTTAGCTAGGGTCTCTTTGTAGTTTCCTGGGAATTTCCCTAGTGCCAGATTTCTCCCTAATCCCATAATGGCTCCCTCTTTCAAGGCATCTTTTTCCTTGGTCTCCCTTTCTATCCTTCACCCAACTCAATCTTCCCAATTTCTCATGTTCTCCTCTCTGCTCCTCTTTTCCCTTCTATCACCCTACCACCCTCTCTTGTTCCTTCCTGGGAAAATCCATGTATAACTCTCTTAGGGTTCTCCTTGTATCCTGTCTTCTCTGGGGTTCTAGACTACAGGTTGGTTTATGGATAATATCCATTTAAGAGTGACTACATACTGTATTTATCTTTTTGGGTCTGGGTTACGCCAATCAGGATGGTGTTTTCTAGTTCCTTCCATTTGCCTGGAAATTTCAAGATGCCATTGTTTTTTACTGCTGAGTAGTACTCCATTGTGTAAATGTACTACATTTATTTATCCATTCCTCTGTTGAAAATTCCCTATTTAGATCTATACTTCACTTTTTAACTTGGATTATTTGATGTTTAGTTTCTTGAATTCTTTAAATATTTTAGGGATCAACCCTCTGTCTGATGTGGGGTTGATGAAGTTTTCCCATTTTGTAGGCTGTCGTTTTGTCTTGTTGACTATGTCCTTTGCCTTACAGAAGCTTCTCAGTTTCAGGTCCCATTTATTAATCCTCAATCTCAGTGTCTGTGCTACTGGTGTTATAGTCAGGAAGTGGTCTCCTGTGCCAATGCACTCAGTGTTATTTCAATCTTTCCCTTCTATGAGGTTAAGTGTAACTGAATTTATGCTGAGGTCTTTGACCACTTAGACTTGAGTTTTGTAGATGGGACTAGACATGGATCTATTTGCACACTTCTACATGTCAGCATCCAGTTATGCCAGCACCATTTGTTGAAGATGCTTTCTTTTTACCATTGTATACTTTTAGCTTCTTTATCAAAAATAGGTGTTCATATGATGGAGGAAGGTCATTGGTTAAATAAAAAGAAACTGCTTGGCCCTCATTGGTTAGAAGATAGGTGGGAGGAGTAAACAGAACAGAACGCTGGGAGGAAGAGGAAGTGAGCTCAGACTCCACAGCTCTCCGCTCGGGAGCAGACGCCTCAGAGAGACGCCATGCTCCCAGCTCCCAGGCAGACGCACACGATGAAGCTCCGACCCAGGATGGACATAGGCTAGAATCTTCCCGGTAAGCGCACCTAGGGGCGCTACACAGATGATTAGAAATGGGCTAAATTAATATGTGAGAATTAGCCTAGAAGAGGCTAGATAGAAATGGGCCAAGCAGTGATTAAATGAATACAGTTTGTGTGTTGTTATTTCGGGCATAAGCTAGCCAGGCAGCCGGAGTGCTGGGGATGCAGCCCTGCCACTCATATTACTACATTCATAGGTGTGTGGATTAATATAAGGGTGTTTGGTTTGATTCCATTGGTCCACCCATTTGTTTTTGTGCCATTACCAAGCTGTTTTTATTATTATAGCTCTATAGTAGAGTTTGAAGTCAGGGATTGTGATGCCTCTGGAAGTTCCTTTATTGTACAGGATTGTTTTTGGCTGTTCTGGAAATGGATGCTGAAAACTTCAGGATACTCTTAATGTATCTTAAACTGTAGATGCTCTTAATGCCACCGAATTTTACATAAAAAAAAAGATAATTTTCCTGGCACCGGGTTTCTCCCTAACTACATAAGGGCCCCCTCTGTCAAGATATCGTTCATTACTCTCTCCCCCGCCTTCCAGACCCCAACTCAACCATCCTGATTGCTCATAATCTCCCCCACCTCCAGTTTACCCAAGACATCTAATCTATTTCCTCTTCCCAGTGGGATCCATGCATTCCTCTTAGGCTCCTCCTTGTTACTTAGCTCCTCCGTGGCCCAGGAATCTACAAGAATGACCCCTAGCAATCATAGAGAGGTGCCTGAACTGGTCTTCTCCTGTAATCAGATTGGTGACCGCCCTAATTGTCATCCTTGAGTCTTCATCCTGTACCTCATGGAAGTAGATGCAAAGATCCACAGCTCTGTGATTTCAGTCTAAGAGATGGTTGAGCAATTATATGAGCAAAGGGGTCGAGACCACGGGGAAAACCACAGAGACAGCTGATCTGAGCTTGTGGGAGCTCATAGATTCTGGACAGACAGCTAGGGAGCCGGCATGCAGCTGGGCGAGTTGTGGAGCTTGGTCATTTGTGGGGCCCCTGGCAGTGGAACCAGGATCTGTCCCTGAGGAATGAGCTGGCTCTTTGGGACCTATTCTCTATTGTGGGACGCCTTGTTCAGCCTTGATGCTGAAGGGAGGAAACTGGTCCTGCCTCAACTGGATATGCATTATACTTTGTTGATTCATACAGGAGGCCTTACTACATCTGAAGGAGACTGAGGAGGAGTGGATGGGGCGGGGATTAGAAGGGAAATGGGCGAACGGGATGGGAGGAGAGGAGGGAGGGCAAACTGGTTAGTGTGTAAAATGATTTTTTTAAAAGAATGAATTAAGAAAGAGGTAAAATAGAAAAACACAGACACAGCATACCACCTTTTCAGACATGACCAATTTATTCAAGAAATTCAAATTTCATTTTTCAAAGTATATCCAGGGGCAGGGTTTAGAATAATTATGTCACCAGAAGCAATCACATTTTATACAGTTAATTGACCATGGGGGTGGTATCCAGAGGAAAGGCAAAACTTAAAAAAAAAAAAAGTTGTGTGTTGGGGGTGGTAATTACAAATATCAGCAAAGAAAACAACTAGCTTATACTACTGAGGCATGAAGCATGCTAACACTAGTAGTGACCCTTTAGTCCAATGCACCACACAATCTGGACCTAATTTGTGCAATACACTAGGTATTGGGAATATGGTGGAAACACACACAAATCAAAGACACACTCCACCTCTTTAGCAAGTGAACCAACAGCCTTTATAATAAAAGTGGTGTGGTGAGGCACAAAGCACTCTTTGAAGGCCATGGGAAGAAGTTCAGTTGACAATGGCTCCACTTTATTCTGGTGGAGTAGATTGGCAGATCAGAGCCTGCTAAGAAAACGTAGCATCTCTGCAACAAGAAACAGTTTATTTCCTCCACGGCTTTGAATGTGTGGTAAGAAAGTTTTCAAAGGTAAAATATCTTAATTTCTCTCACTGTTGACCCATTTTAGAAAATCAACTAACAGGACGTGAGGATGAGAAGTTTAGCAGAAAGGTGAGCTCTGGCGATGCAGGCCCAGCTGTTCGGGCAGCACTGCAAATGCTCACAAGCCAGAGTGGAGCTGCATCCATCACTACAGACGCCCTCTAGACCACAGGCTGCTCTGCCAGTGTGAGCACAAGGCAGGAAGGGCACCTCTGCAGATTGCTCCACATAATGAAGGCTGAAGGCCACATCTGGGGACATGAGATTGTTTACAGGTTAAGTATCTCATGTTAACTTACTGTGTTTATAGTTTAAAAAAGAAAAATGAAGGAACATCTCTCCAGAATGACAAAGGTACCACTTGTTTTACACCTTAAAATAATTTAATTAAATATATTGACAAAACATCACAACCTCGGCTTTTGCATTTTACACGGATACATTCGTTACATAATACTTTAGTAGGGAATGATCACAACCATGGTATATAAGCAGCTGTTTTAGCATTATTCATCATCCTTAACTTCAGTTTGACTTGTATTATTATCTCAGAGAAAGATGCCATTTCTTCCATTAAATTACCATCCAGCTCAAAAAAGAATAATTAAAAAAATCCTTTGTCAATGCTAAGTCAAATACATATACCTGCCAGGCTTTGATAAAAGACAACAATGCACACATGTCAGCACTTCACAGAATGTCACTGCAGAACTCCACTATTGTGAAGCAGCCCTCACAACTGTGGCTGGTCAAATCTATTAGTCACAATACACAATATTATTTAACTAATAGACCACCAAAATGCTACCACTAACAGCTATTTTTTTTTAACCAAAATTACCCCAGAGGACTAGAAAAGGTAAAGTAGTCCAAAATGATTTATTTAAAAGTAAAATGTGTAAAATGCAATCTCTCTTGGTCTTACATTTAATTAAGAACCAAATGTTGAAACATCATTTCAGACTTATATACATCATGATCCAGTTTTTAGAAAAATGGACTTCAACTGGAAATGCTACATTATGCAAAAATAACTTATCAGTTTAATTTTAATGACTTTCCCCAACTCTGATATAAAAAACATTACAAGAACTTAAAGTTTAATGAGAAAAAAGCTATTTTTCCCATTTATTAAAAAAAATTGTTTTGCATCAGTAACATACAATGCCCTATTTAAGGCACAACTTTTTTCTTAAGGAAAAAACCCCACAGATTAGATATTTTTTCTACATAGGTATAGGACAGAGCCACTTTGCAGGCATATCATTAAAGACATCTTAATCCAGACCTAATATGAAAAACTACTGCTGTTTCTACACAGCAACACTCTTATCTACACGGCCAAGACAGGTAGTTGCGGCTAGAATAGCCCCAAAGAGTTCTTGCTTTAACCTCCTGGGTTGTCCCAGGAGGCCAATTTCAGCATCACCAGGTTAAAATGAGTGACTTCTGTTTTGCATTAGCCCTCCACCTTACTTGTCGGGGCAGAGTGCTGCCACCTCCACAGCCAGAGTATTATCAGGTACTTGAACTCAGCACCTAAGAGCATGGGGTCAGGCAAGGCGAATGCTAGCCTCCCTCCATCACTGCTGTCTCTTGTGAGCGCCCACATCTTTCTTCTCTTGTAAGCCTGGCCCTACCTGTATCTTCTGAGACAATCTTCAGAACAGTGCAAAGCAGCCCTAGGAAACAGAGAATCCACACAACTGCCATATGAACACGAATCTAGATGCTCTCATCAGTTCATTAGATACTGTTAATACCTCATTTGAGTATTTCAGTTAAAAAAAAAACCATAAAACTGGGGAAAGGAGAAAACCCGCAAAGTTGAATATGACTGTCTTGTAGGGCCTTGTAAAGGCAACTGAAATGGAGGGGCTATAAGAATGAAAACCATCCGAGAAAGCAGGTTTCTTCAAGCGAGCTTACCTATCCGATTCACTGGTATATTCCAGGCTTGATTATATATAAAGATGAGTCGGGAGAAGTGCTTTGTGAAAACATTAGTTTTGAGACACAAGACAACATGAACTTTAAGGTTTTGAAGGTGATTTTCTTTACTTCTCAAAAATAATGGCTAAGCAGATCTCTTCCAGGATTGATCACTTTCACTGTGAACTTTACCAGGCTCAATTCAGTGTTCAGTGGCCAATATAAAGAAGAATGAGTTTATAGAAGAAATCTGGGTTAAGCGTGGGGCAAGGTAGCACAGGAGCTAAGAAAGGGGGCCCAAAGGAAAGATAGGGCAGGGTGCGAAGGGACTGATTGGCGGCCTCGGAGACAGGTGCGGCTCTGGTGTCTCTGCTTCTACTAAAGGGAAAAGAGGTGCACTTCCAAATGTAAACTTGCTTAGTTATGTTTAGAAATAAAACAATTTAATGTTAATTCTGAGAGATATTACATACTCCATGGCTAGTACACTCTGGCACAATAATACCTCATAAATAAATATAAATACCATTTTCCTTGTAATGTATATTGGCTCTTAAACAAATTTTTTAAAAATGAACTATAAATGTCTATAGAAGTATTTAAAATCGTTAGTAACTAGACAACACCAACAAATTATAAAATAATACTTTCAATTCTCAGCCAACATCTTAACTTTTGAGCTTAACACACATTGTTTATATCCTTAGTTATATAGATTAATGAAATTAAAATCTAAAACAGTCTTGTTTGCTAATATGGACTAGTTTTGTTTCTACTGAATAATAAGTTTCCGCACATTAGAACATTTTCATTATATTCCATTTCCTGTTCTGACATACAATGAAAACAATGTCTGTATCACAGGACTCTGGTGAGTACTGCTTCTGTCATCTCTGGAGAAAGCAGTGTTTCCTTCCTCTTGCCATATTGCTTAGTAATTAGTGTCAGAAACTGTTGTCAAAACTCACAACTCCTGCTAAATAAACAATAAGTTTCCAACTTCCAGAACTTTGACTTTTCACTGCATGAAGGCCAATACTAGCAGCGGCTAGGCCTGGGGAAAGCACTGTACAGCACCAAGATTCCGTCCACTACTGAGGAACCACCTGGGCCTTGCACCTCATGACGTGAAAACCTACATGAGGTGTGTCTATCAGGCTAGCATGGCCACTCAGCTCAATTTTACCTCTAAGATAGGAAAATAAATAGAAAACTGCTTTAGGGTTATATTTTTAAGAAAAGAAAATATGAGAAATTACTCATTCAAGTTTAGAAGGGTATCAAAGCCACATGTAAAAACATGATACCTCAATTTTCTAGATCACGCTAAGAAAAAAACACACCAACAAAAACAAGTTCTTAGAGCAACACAAAAAACACAGCTTGGAAAGCAAGCTTAGTCACAGCAACGTGACAAATGCCATCATCTCTTTTTCTAACCACATTCTGCCAACTGAGTGGGGGGAAATTTTCATCAATGTTTCATTAACAGTAATCTGAGAGAAAACAATGGGATTATGGTCAAAAGTAATTTCTTTGAGAATGTTGTTATAAGTCCATTAAAGTTAAAAAGGAACTGTGCCCATTTTTGATAATAAGGGACTCTCTACTGATAAACCTGGCAAGGATGCAAAAATTTGCTGAAACCAAATTCCTGAAAAATAACTAAGACCTCTAAGTCCATTTAATGTGAAATAACTTTCAATTATTAGAAAATCATTTATATTCTTATAGTGTCTTACAGTATATTTTATCTCTAATAAAAATATAGAACTCATAATGCTAATATTGAAGCTTAAAGCCAACTTCTAGCTCAACAAAGAAAGAATGGACGAATGCATCTTCCAAGGGAAAATGAAAGTCAACGTAACATGGCAGAAATGTTGGAACCATAGATAGACTTTGATCAAAACAAAGCCCACATCACGAAAACTCTAACTCTAATGCAGTTTATCATTTGTCTGGACTTTTTATCAGCTGGTGAATCTGTTAGTCAAGTTTCAGAGAAAAAATCTGTTAAAGCCTTTTCTACTAAATCCATAGAAATGACAGATGACCAGGCCACTTGTTGCAATTAATGAATATGAGACTTCTTGTGCTTTCCATCTGAGGAGTAAAAATCACCAATGACTTTATTTTCAGTAAGATACAACCTCAAAATTACACTACACAACTATACAAAACGAAGCCTTCCTCAAACCCAATTCTATACGAAATTCTCAACAGTGTAGACTCATCATTTGTTGAGTGAAAATGGTGACTCATAACAGTGTAGACCTAGCTATAGATTTTAATACACAAATATATATATATATACATACATACATATATATATATATATATATGTGCCTTGTGTATGACAACTGTATGAAAATAGTCTCAAAAATAAAGACAATACTTGAGAAATGAAGCAACCTAATTTCCCTGATTTTACATTCTATTTCAGGGAAACTAAGTCTCTGATGCTTCATAAGTACTTCCTAAGTTCAGGACGGCCTTAACCATGCATAGTCTCCACCAGTCCTTTGAAGCTTCCGAAAGTTCAGGCCGAACAATTCACGGAGTTGCACCCTGTGCTTAAAAATGCTTATTGATGTCCTGACTTTTCTAAATCCGGGAGTTTTCTGACCAGGGCTTGATGATTCATTTTAATGCTAGCAAGGAGTCCCCCTTCAATGCCATCGGACCCAGTGTAACTGATCTCTTCACCACTCAGAGTGGTCATATGCCCCCCAAGGGCTTTTAAAATGGCATTGCCAGCACATATATCCCATTTTTTGATGTATGTCACATGAATATATAGATCTGCTCTTTCTTGGCTCACATCAGGCACATCCAAGAGTGCTAAAACTTTATAACCTAGAAGACAAAGAAAAAATTAGGTGATTACTGAAATGCCTTAATAAAACATTTACAAGATTTTTAGGTATACAGTTGAAAAGACAGGATGAGATGTTCATGAGCATTCCACACTGCCTTTGTCTAATCTAAAATCAATCATCTCCAAACATAATCATGCTTACAAGTAACAACCCCAATATCAGGCAGTCAAAATAAGCTTACTATTTAAGTTAGTCTCAATTATAGCAGTCGGTCTAAGATACCAATTTTAAAAGAGTACTAGTTTAGTGCTTTTTAGTAATGAGGTATAGTTCCATTAGAATAAAAAAACAATAACAAAAAAATTTCAAAAAGGGAGGAGGACATTACATCTAGAAACTAGTTCATCTCAACCCTCCTAGCTATCTGGACATTGAGTTTTCCTAACCAACATAACAGGCATCCTGTAAGGAAAAATCTAGGAAAGAAGATATATACAACTCGCAAATTAAATATAACGCTGAATCATTTCTCCCATTCAAATACCTTAAATACCTTAGCACTGCTGAAAAGGAATTAGAACATGAATGTTTTCTGATTTAATTTATTTACCTTAATTAAAAAATTTCTGATGTGATAAATGTTCATCAAAAGGCTCTTTCAAGCCAAACCCACGCTATGGTTTGCTCTTGTACACACCTCACAGTAACAATATCTGAATATTTATTACTGTCCGCTTTCAACTGTGGACTCTGACTTCTAATCAAGTAGTATAAGAGCAAGGGATATATATTACAATGGGTGAGCACAGTACTTCTCGCTCACCCCAGACGAGAGAGCTGCAGAGGTCAACATTGCAGGGATTAGCCATTCTAGCAGTCCCTAGGATGACGACAGCTTCCCACTGCAGGACATCTCAATTCTTCCACTTTTCCTCCTGACAGGCCCACCATTAAACACATAGGAAATTGATTCTAGAGTCAGGTCATATTAAGAGCAGCTCTGCTGGTGTACAATTGTGGCAGTATGCTTTTGTGGTCATTTATGAAGGTTTCTGACACGGGCAATGATAATGCAGGAGTCTGAGCTTGTCTTTAAAGTACATTGCCTCCTTATTTTGTGTCCAAGTATGAGATAAATACTTTGGTATCCCGAGAGATCTTTGCTCCTGCTGGAACATACTATGGAATCACAAGATGGGGAGAAACAGAGGGAACATACCAGCACCGCCAGCTGGGATGATTGACGACTGATTTCCAAAGGTCTGTAAAGCAACCTGTTTGACCATCCCTGCGTGAGAGCGAGACACAATGATCTTTGGGGTCTTCTCATTGTAGGAGGAGCGGACTTTCACATTTGAACCACCATCCACCATTGCCCAAGCTGAAAAGCAAGTAGGATGCCCATTAACAGCATTGAAGGTTTACAATTCCAAAGCATTACACAAATTACAATCTTCAGAATCAAGTGACTTGGGAAAAAAAAGAATCATTTTCTACAGATTTAATCATTTCCCTCGAACAGATTTTTTCTTTTTAGCTAGAAAAATTACTTAAGTATTTAAGTAAGAAAACAGGCATGTATTGAAAAAAAAGCTTCCAAGTGCACCGTGTTCTTCACAGTTAGAATGACTATCAAATATTTGGCATAAGAATTCTAGTACTCTCTCCATTATCAAATGAGCATCTTCTGAGACCACCTCGTAACTTGACTCCTAACTCTACTCAGCCCATTTTCTTCCCTTCGTGCAAATGTCTCACTCAGTACACTTCTTGCCAAGCATCTTGCACACTGAGCTCATCAGCAAAGTCAGATTCATGATCTGTGACAAGGACACAACTGTTTGGATCATTCAAGTTTCAAAATTGATTTTCTTCTATCTCTACTTCTGATATACTCAGGTTCATTTATTTGCATATTTCTCATTCTCCCAAATGCTTTAAGAACATAAACTATTTAAAGAAGTGAGTTAGTTTTACTGACTGTCTTATCAAGAGCATGTCCTGGTAAGATGTTGTCTTGACATACTTGTGAGGAGGGAACCTCAACTGAAGAATTGCTTCTATGAAATGGGCCATGGGCATGTCTGTGCAGCATTTTCTTGACTGCTACTTAATGTAGGAGGGCCCAGCCTATGGGCAGTACTATCCCTAGGCCAATGAGCTTGGACTGTATAAGGTAGCTGATCAGTTAAAGAGATGGTTCAGCATTTAAGAGGACTTGCTGCTCTTCCAGAGGACCTGAGTTCTGTTCCCAGCCCCCATGTCAGGTATTTCACAACTGCCTTTGACTCCATCCTAGAGGATCTGATCCTCACTACCAGCCGCTGTGGGCACTCTTACATATGTGGCATAGACTCACAAGACACATTCAGATACAGAAATAACATTTTAAGGAAGGTAGCTGAATGTGGAAGCCTGGGAGCCAAGCCGGGAAACAGTGTTCCTCTGGAGATTTTGATTCATGCTTCTGCTTTGGCTTCCCTTGATAACGGATTATACTTTCCAAGATGAAATCAACCCTTTTCTCCCTATGTTACTTCTGGTCATGGTGTTTATCATAGCAACAGAAAGCACAGTAGAACAGAGCATAAAAATGCAAAGTCAATTGAGTATGGTGGCTCTTACCTATAATCCCAGCATTTTAGAGGTGGAAGCAACAGGGGTTGCTTTGAGTCAAGGCCACTGCAGGATGCATAGTGAATTCCAAGCCATCCTAGCACAGAGTGTAAAACTCCCATCTTAAGAAGAATGAGTCAAAGAAAAAGAAACCAAGAAACAGGTAGTGGTGGGAGAAGTTTTGAAAGAAGGAAGGGACTTTCCAGGGATAGCTTGAAATACATGTCTAGGTTGAAGTTTTCCTCACTCTGGTGCAAATAAGACAAGAAAGCAAATTTAGTCAAAAGTAAACCAGTTAGATTGCTATTCTAATACCATTCACTATGCCATACCATGTTTATCAATGAAGGTAGTTTATTCCTGGCTACAGGAAAAAGAAAAAAGAGAAAAAGTGGAGTCTGGGTTTCTAAGTCACCATGGATGATGGCAGCCAACTAAAAACTATACACAATAACAAGGAAGTGAATATATATATATGCCTCCCCAGAGTAAGTAGGAAACAGAGACAAATCCAAACCCATGAGATAACAAGGAGACAAACAGTGTAGATCAGCAGAACAACTGCCAAATACAGTTCCAATGTCTCCAATAGCAGGAGCTTCAGAGAAGTACCAAGAGAGCCAAGGTTCCTTCTTGACTCAATATAAGTCAGTAAGAAACACTTAGAAGGAAAGGCTTAGAAAGGACACGGAAATAGGGGCAGTAGGAGGAAGAAAATATCTTCGGCATTTGGAAAAGCAGCCAGAGCTGTGAGAAGGCAACAGGACAAAAGTAAAGTAGGCGCCTGGTAAGAAGGCTCCCATCCCACAGGAGAAAGGTCCTGGAGAAGGAGTAGCTAGTGGCATTCCATCAACACACCCAGAAGACTAGGTGTCCTATGGGAGAAGAGGCCTGCTCTCCGGAGCAAGGAAAGACATGGGGCGAAGTGATGCAGGAAGCTGCTCCTCATTAAAAGAACAGAAGGCAACAGCTTAGTGGCTGAAAGAAATCCACCTTACTTGACAGGACCTTGTTTTAAGTAAGCACCTTAAATCCATTCAGGAGCATGCAGAAAAGCGAAAATGCTGCATGTCCCGGGGAATACTGGTTAGCTGAGGCAAATGTAGTACTTGTAACTTTAAAGTACACTGGAGGAAAAAGCTCATGAGAATTTATCATAATTTTGTCTGTAATTATTTACAAAAAGTTTCAAAAAGTGGGGGAAAAAATCCTCAAATTCTCTAAATTCTTTTCTAACTGGTCTTTACCAACTATTCTGTTTTACTGAGAAGTGAACTTACAATGTTCTAGCTCTAGGGTTCAGTATTGTGTAGGATACTAGCAATTATGAATTCAGTATTTTAAAAGGTACTTCATGTTACATATGTAATACATTAATTTATAGCACTTTAATGGACAAATATTTTTTAAAGTTTTATTTTTAAACCATGGTTAAGTCTGTGTGTGAGTCTATAACATGGGCACAGATGTTACAAAGCCAGGGTAGCGTGCAGACCTCCTGGAGCAGGGGTGTCAATGTGGATGCTGGGAACTGGAACTTGAGCCCTTTGCAAGAGTAAACAGGTACTCTTACCCAGAGCCATCTCTCAAGCTCCAATGGATATATTTAAATTAGATTTGGGTGATAAGGTATAAGAGCAGCTACATATGTTTATTTTATGAAAAATAAAGAAAAGGCCTGCAGGGGCCAAGCAGAGAGCCCTGACACCTAGCATATAAAGCTTAAGGCAAAGCAGTGCCTCTTGCTCCTCCTACTGTATTAGTTACACTTAGCTACAAAGACTGTAAATCTGATTACTGTGGCTCAGAAAGTAAGGCTAAAAAGTAGGTGTGGTTCAGTAATCAAAAACCTAATGCCTGTTTTTTTTTTCATTTTATATGGTATATTGATATATATTTTTTTTTTTTTTTTTTTTTTTTTTTGGTTTTTCGAGACAGGGTTTCTCTGTGGTTTTGGAGCCTGTCCTGGAACTAGCTCTTGTAGACCAGGCTGGCCTCGAACTCACAGAGATCCGTCTGCCTCTGCCTCCCGAGTGCTGGGATTAAAGGCGTGCGCCACCACCGCCCGGCTTCCACAATATTATCTTGAAGTTCTTTACATTTAATATATTTTATTATTTAAGTATTTCATACATATGTAGAATATTTATATCTTTTAAATATAGCAGCTGTAAGAAACTAATACACAAATTTAAGGATGACACTAATATTATCCACAATACATGGTCATAGTTTTCAATACTGGCAATGTGGACACTGTCATAACTAAGAGCCTTGTCATCTTAGAGAATGATGGTGCCAAGGACCATAATATTTGTCCTATGAGTTGATGGGAATTAACCAATTAAAAGCACAACAAATCACTGCAGGCAGTCAGCAATAATATTTATACTAACTACTCTTCCCCCACAACAGTAATAACTTGTGCTGTCATAGTGAACATGAGATCACTGGCCATACTGTAAAGACCAGAAGGCCACAGGCCACAGGCAGCCTGAGTAACTATACTATCATTTCTTCTCTGCTGAAGAGACTCTACCCAGCTCAAGCAAGGTAAACATGGCTCTAGCAAGCCTTGCCCTTCTCTCCCATTCCCTCTGCCTTCCTAAAAACTGTTAGGTAGCACTCCTAGAGCTGGTCATCAGGTCTGTTCCCTTATTTGACCCTTTCCTCCTACCAAAGACCAGCTATCAAAGTACTGAGGTCCAGCAATCAAAAGCCCCCTTGGCTCACCTAATTAACATACCCAATTAAAATTACACACCTCACCCTAACCCAGCGCTTCCCCTATCACCTCTATAAATGGCCACTTACTTATGAGCACCACCTGTCTCCTCTTTAACCACAGGCAACAGATACTCCTTTCCCTGTTCACTTGTTCCCTTCCCTTTCTCCCTCATCCCCTATTGCCTGTATTTGTCTCTTATTCCCTGCCCTATGTTCCAGTGCAGTGCAAAAAGAAAAAGAAAAAGAAAATCTCCTTTAGGCTAAGAATTTGGCCTTAGGGTGTCTTGAACCAACTTCAAGGTTCCCTATTCCTGCATCCACTGACTTTGGTAGGGCTACACACAAAGGTCACACCCTAACTAAATAAGAACTTCCTTGTCATGGCCATCCATGTCTTCTTACAACACAGGCACCACTGAGCTGACCTCCTAGCAAACGTGACTGTGACTGTATGACAGAGGACCCGAGGATCTCTAACAGATGTGCCGTGGCTGCAGACAGCTCCTCTCCCACTTCTTAAGTCTCAGTGTCACTTTTTGTCACAATAGTGCGCTCTGAATACTAAACTGTACAGTTTCACAGCAGAAGCCATCACAGGAACCCAGGCCTCACCTCCAACGACAGCATGAAAGAAACACAAGATACCTTACTGGGGAATATTTCTACCTTATTAGTATTTCCAACAGATTTTTTTTTTCCCATAAAGCTCTGTTTTACCACATACTCTTAGTGTCAACCATAAAATCTGTATCCTCCCCAGACAAATAGTGTACAAGGGTAGGAGACAGACTTCAATTACTAAAATCCTAGTATAGTTAAGTACTACAGACAAAGGGTTCAGTACCACAAGTAGCACTGTGTCTCAAAAGAGCTCAGGTATACATCATACCTGTATATTCAGAAAATGGCTTGTGAATAACTCCTAGCACAGGTTTGCCATTCACAGCTACACACACCATGGTAGTGACATACTTCCGAAGATCCTCTGGGAGAAAACACAAAGGCATGGCTGTTAAAGTACTGTGTTTAACGCAGCACACAACATGATACTGACGTCGTCAGAACTGAGATGTGTACAACCCCTTTCAAAAGCAAAACTGCTCTAAGCAGGAAGAGAGCTGCTAAGTACATGTGAGATCTGGTTCTTGGGTTAGTCACTCAGTCCATCATTTTAGTAACTCCATTTCTTAGTATGAATTAACTAAGTCAAACTTAGTTTCCTTATCTGTAAAATACAGATAACAATTGTCCATCTTCAAATATAAATTAACCTTTAATCTTATAATCAAATTTAAAAATCAAGTTAGAAGTTTAAAATAGTTTTGTAGAAAGGGATATGCACACTAATTATTATTATGGACTCAAGCCAGTTCATTTTAGAAAACAAACTCAAAAGTGTACATTTCTGCTATTTACTCATATAAATCAGTTTTGCAATGTTAGTTTTATGTATGTACATATGAATGTATGTATGTATGTATGTTCACACACACACATACACACACCTGTGCCTTCCCTTAATAGTAATAATCTATTGAGTACACATTACAGTTCAAGTTCAGTATACAGAATGCCAAGGTGGAAAGTACAAACTCACATATTCTGGGGGTCTTGCCTTCTAGGGGACAAATAAATTTTAACATATACCGCCCAGGGTAAAGCAAGAAGTAAATACTGCGTGTAAGAGAGAGCCTGAGGAAGGACCAGAGAAATGAAACTTGAGCTGGCAAGAATAATGTAAATGTGTGTGTGTGTTTGGGGGTTGGTGGTGATAATCTTGTTTTGCTACTTTTCACTTTCTGGCTCCATTAAATGTACTACTTTAAATTCATATATCAGATGTATATATAACAAAACCTGAATTCTTAATAACCTACGTAAATATTATAATCTGGCACACACTTTCCTTAGTGTTAGGCAGACATGGGTAGTGTGCTGGTGCCACTGAAAAAGGCGGTGTCATTAGAGGAGCATGCTACGGTAGGGAAACAGATGAGAATTGTCCGTCCGTCTGAATGGTTCATGCAATATCCTGATAACCTAGCCTGCTTGTCTGGAAATCTAATCAGATTCTTAAAATCCAACTGGAAGGTTCTTAGATTTGTAAAGGATCTGCCACCATGTGTACACTATCTGCCTTGGTCCAGGCTCTCTAACAGAAAATGATAATGGAATGCTCGAGACTCACCCGTGTACTCCTGGGTAGCATCAAGCGGGTCAATCCAGACAGTCACGCTTTCCGCAGGGACTTCTTTAGGAGCAACTATTTCCTTCAGGATGTCCTCAGGAATCTTACGATTCCATACAATGACCTCCTTGTCAGATGCATCCACATGTTCCTCAGTATTTATCTATAGTGGAAATAGTTGATATTACAAAAGAGAAAACCATTATTATTTAATAGATCTCAAAAAATGTATCTCAGATAATTCATAAAAAATCTTATTAATGATAGCCTTAAAGTATTTCAAGGAATTTAATGCATTTTTTTAAAAGCATCATATAAAAGCATTGTAGTGACATTTTATCTTCAAATACTTTCTAATCTAATATTCAAGTTTAGTGTTTTGGTTAATGATGACTAGACTCCAAGTACAGGCAGAGTTCTAATACAAATTGAGAAACCATGTATCACAGAAGTAAGTTAGTCCTGGCTGGATCAGGAGTAAAGGGCCTAAGGGACTGAAACTGGGGCAGTCTACAGCCCAGTGCTAGGGAGGTTCATGGGGGAGGCGTGGGCCTTATGCCACCATTAGGCTATTATTATAGGACTCATTGTTAAAAAAGAGTAAAAAAAGAAATTCTAAAGCCTGAAAATAGATATTTTCTCGAGCATTGGACATAAGCAACTTCAGCTAGAATCAAACAGAACAACAATGCAAGTTACACAAAGAATGTGCCTTAAAAACAGAATTTGGGTGCTAAGGGGTAAAATTACTGAGTGGACTGTTTGTCTAAAATGTACCTTTAAGCAGTAAGGAGAAAGAAACCTGGAGATCACTAAATAGATAGGCTAGCATATTACAAAACCCAAATAAATTGAAACAAGAAATCAAAAAGGGCATAAAGATAAATGCCTAGCTATTTTTTAACTATCAAAGATGTATCTGAGGGAAAGAAAGTAAAATAAAAAATTCTTCTTATTCATAAAAGAAAAAATTAAAACATAAATCTGATTTATGATAATTATGTAAAATTGTGGAGTGAGGAGAGAATATATAGAAATATATTTTTACTTCACGTTTGCAAGTGTTTTGCCTGCAAGAATGTTTGTGTTATCACATATGCCCAGTACACTGGTGGCCAGAAGATGGTGTAGAACCCTCATGAACTAGATTTACAGAAGGTTTGTGAGCTGCCATGTGGATGCTGGAAACTGAACCTGGATTCTCTCTAAGGACAGCAAGTCCTCTTAACTGTTGAACCATCTCTCCACCCCAACAGTTTTCAGAGCCAGTACTTTCTATAGGCCACCATCTCTATGGGCACATGCAGTAATGTGCACAGTAAGAGCTCTGTTGAGCAAAGGACACTGCAGACCTCTTTCACTGGCATTTTCCACTGCTACACCCTGACTACTGAGCGAATACACTAGCTATGAAGTGACCCATGTTGTGTACTGTAGACTGTCTTGAGGCAGTCCTGAGTTCAATTCCCAGCAAACACATGCTTACATGAATTACTTTATTCCAAAATTGAGCACTCATACATGAAATAATGTAAATAAATCCTCATACCTACAATCTACATAATCACAACATACATGCAGAGGACCTAGGTCAGAACCACACAGACTCCCTATTGTTACTTCAATCTCTGTAAATCCCTATGAGCCCTGTCTAGTTAATTCTGTGGCATGTTCTCCTAGTGTCCTCAACCCCTCAATCCTTCCCTTCTGCAGAGTTCCCCAAGCTCTACCTAATGTTTGGCTGTGGATCTCTGCATGCGTTCCCATGAGCTGCTGGATGAAGCCTCTCTGATGATAACTAGTCAGGGGTGGGGCGCGGTAGTGTCAGGAGACACACTTAGCCACCAGGGAAATACAAGTCAAAACTACTATGAGATTCTACCTTATACCTGTCAGAATGGCTAAGATCAAAACCACAAGTGACAGCTCATGCTGGCAAGGATGTGGAGCAAAGAAAGCACTCCTCCATTGCTGGTAGGAGTGGAAACTTGTATAGTCACCACAGCAACCAACTGAATCTACCTCAAGACCCAGCCATACCACTTCTGGGTACATACCCAAAGGATGCTTTATCCTACCACAAGGGCACTTGATCAACTATGTTCATAGCAGCCTTATTCTTAATAGTCCAAAACTAGAAACAGCTTCCCTTCTTAACAACCTGCTATCTTGTTAAATCAGATTATGTCGATCCTAATTTAAAAGAAATAAACAAACAAAAACCCTCCCAATAACTTTCAGCATGTAAAGATTGAATACAGAGTTTTCACATCTACCAGGTAAATCCTAGATGATCCAATGCTAGCGAACACTAGGCAGAATGTCTCTCCATTTGCGTATTTATGTTTGCACTCAAAAACTTACCATCTTCTTACGGGGTTTTTTATACTTGCTGTACTTCTCCGCTAATTCAAACTCTCTCCAGCTTACTTAAAATGGTCTACAGATCTCAATTCAAATGAAAATATCTCAGTCTGACCTTCCCATACTAGCATAAAGATCCCTAACATACTCTTCGCACATAACAAGACTTTTTCCTTTTCAAAGACCTCATAAATTCCCAAAATGATCTTGTTTGTTTGCATATTAAATTACTTATCTTGAATAGCCAAGTCATAGATTCTCTTGCAAAACACCCATAAAATTTGGCACCATCTAAACCAAATGTAAATGTTCAACTAACACTCCCTAATTGAAGATACTATTCTTAACCTATAGTGGTTTGGGTTTTTTCCCTCCTTCATTTATTCTCCTCCACTCCTCTTCTGTGTTAGCAATTCAGCCTCCTGCATGCTCAATGTCTCTATTCTTGGATTTCAACAGGGAACCAAGTATAACAAAATCACAGAACCTTAGGACTTCCCACAAACAAGAGTTCTCACCATTCACTATCATCCCTTCTTATCCCAGACTGGCTACTCTCAAAGAAGTCATTAATGATTGGAATGGAAAATGAAGCTTTCAAAGAACCTATAATTTTAGTGAGTGATATAAAGCATTTCTAGAAACCAGAAAATTGCAAACTGATTATAGGCTATTCCTGTAAGTGATGCCTAGTCTTGTAATTTCCACCCATTCCTGGCAACTACTGATCTGACATTGTTGTTTATTAGCCTTAAGTATTATTAAGCATATATTTCTTTTGGTCAGCTGTTCTTCTTTGGTAAGTCTGCCTAGTGCTCACAAAATCTAATTCTTATTTCCTTCCCAGGCATATCAAAGTTCACAGAACTTATCTCCCTTGCAATGAGAAAACATATATTGAATGTTCTAGCCAATGAATTATGAACAAAAATGTGACATATCTAACTTTGTCGCTCATGAAAAGAAGAACAATTTTCCATGTTTTCCCTGTCATGTTGCCATGGCAGAACTACACATTAACAACAACAGGGTCAGAAAGACAGTATGAAGAACAGCTATGCTAAGAGTGCTTCTAGAGCATTGCCTGCTCAGTGTTTGGTGATGAATGCATTTCCTCTTTCATATCTAATACTGTAAGCAGTTTAAAAGGTAGAATAAATTCTTACATGTATGATTGAATTTAATTTGATTCTCTTTCTCTAAACCTCTACATTGAAGAGCAACAGAAGGAAAACATTTAAGTGGTTTGAGAGAGATAAATAAAAAAATAATATAGCAAAATAAAAAATGTAGATCTGAAGAGATAAAAGTCTTAAGGGAAGCATAAACCATTATAAACTATGGCTTGATACAACATCTCAAATCCACTCTAAGGGATAATAGGGTGCCCAGATTTCTGTGATCTTTGTGAGACAGCTATAAAACAGAAGATGGAATCTGTAACTTTCATAATGGAAAATGTTAATCGGTGCAACCACTTCAGGGTTAGCAATCATATTTATTGAGCATAAAGGTTATTAAGCTAGTACACTATATGTCCTTATATGTATATGTAACACATACAGACATATATACAGGTATTTAGGCTAGTTTTGTAACTTGGACTCCAGAAAGGTGAGACAAACTATTTTCTATCAGTTCTAAGAAAAGTTTAATGCCCCAAACACAATTAATGCTGTTATGATAGTTCAGTTAATTTGGGATTAAAGGGGCTTTTGGCTTTTAGAAGAATTACCCATCTAGTGCATTCATCCGTAAATAATTATATAATTAATATAGTTTTAAATATAACATCTCACACATAATTCTCTATATGCTATACATTATAAAGGACAATAGGGTACCAAGATTTTTGACTAAACATTATTTCTGAGTGTGGCTTGAGTGTTTCATGGTAAAATTAGTGTTTAAAAGAGCAGAGGCACCAGGTGGTGGTGTTGCATGCCTTTAAACCTAGTACTTTGGAGGCAGAGGCAGGCGGATTTCTGTGAGTTCAAGGCTAGCCTGGTCTACCAAATCTAGTTCCAGGACAGGCTCCAAAGCTACAGAGAAACCCTGTCTCGAAAAACCAAAAAAAGCAAATAAACAAAAAGAGCAGATGCAGTACAGTTCTTCAGTCTCCCGTAGTCCTATGGGAAGCCTAAGAAACAGAAAGGAAAGAGAAAGGGAATGTGTCCCTTCATGAACCATGACAGCTGAACTGAGCCAGGAGTCTTCTCTGTCCTCTGACAAAGACATACACTATTGGATCCGTGGTTCTTATGCCTTTGGGTTTTAGCTGAACCACACCACCAACTTTCCTGGGTCTCTTTGTGCAGGCTGAAGACTGTGACTGTTCAGCCTCCTAAAGAGTTAACCCTCCTACTAAATAAATATCAGCTGTTTTTTCTGGAGAATGACTACTTTCAAAATGTATAAAAGAATGTCCCCCTCCCCCCGTACCTGTCCTATTTTATTTTCACTTTAAAAGACCTTTTCTTTTTTTCCAGACAGGGTTTCTCTGTGTAACCTTGACTGTCCCGGAGCTCTTTCTGTAAACCAGCCTGGCCTCGAACTCACAGATCCACCGCCTCTGCCTCCTGAGTGCTGAGATTAAAGGCATGAACCACCACTGCCTGGCTAAAAGACATTTTCTTAACACCTTCCTCTTGACAAACCTTGTAACAGATACCTTCTATTATTTTAGATCTTAAAAACAAACACTACAAAACCCAAAGTAAACAAAGCTCGTTCTTCTCTTACTTCCATGAGTCAACTACTCACAGGCCCAGCTTCTTAAGTCTCAGCATTATTCCCTGCCTCTGTTCCTCACCTGCTCATCAGCTTTCCTTCTTCTACATCATGCATGGTACAAGACACCTTCACACAAAGGGGACTAATCAGCTCCAAGGGAGCTGGGTCTCCACTTATACAGTTTCATTTGGTTTCTAGTCTAATAAATTGGGACTAAAAGGAGATAGCTCAGTATTACACATGCTAAGTGCACTGATGTACAAAAATGAACACAACATCAGATCTGATATATCAATCAATACCTAGCCTGAACACTCAAGGCAAACAAAGGATTCAGCCACAAGAAAACAGTTATCTTCTATTAAGGCACTGTGTTAATACCTGAAATCCAAAAGCTACCCTTGGTAGTTAATCTTTTTGTTTTCTACTTATATGTACACACACACATACACAGATATTTAAAAACTTACGATGTAGCTGACTTTACCTTACATTAATAAAGCAGCTGTGCTTGCTACAGTCCTGTTGGGGAACATTAGCTGAAGATGTGCTGTTTGTTTATGCTGTGGAACATTTGCGCGAGGATTCGAGATGCCTTGCATTCTTTTATGTTGCATGTGTCTGACTCTGTGAAGCTGAGTTACTTTGCCTGTCTAAAACACCTGACTGGTCTAATCAAGAGCTGAATGGCCAATAACTAGGCAGGAGAAAGGATAGGTGGGGCTGACAAGCACAGAGAATAAGCAGAAGGAGAAACCTGGGAAGGAAGATCAAGGAGGAGAGAGGACAAGGCTGCCAGGACCAGCCACCCAGTCACACAGCTGGCCACAGAGTAAGTAAAGAAAGGTATATAAACTAGCGAAAGATAAAAGCCCAGAGGTAAAAGGCAGATGTGATAATCTAAGTTAAGAAAAGCTAGCTAGAGACAGACCAAGTTAAAGCTGAACATCCATAAGTAAGAAAAAGTCTCCATGTATTTATTTGGGAGCTGAATGGTGGGACCTCAAAGAGTAAAAGAGTTAAAAATAAAACAACCCCCCCAAAAACACATTTCACTATCACTACCTTAATAATTACATGTTTTTTCCACCAAGAGGAGCTCACACAAGCTCAAATGTTATGAACCTGACTACCATTTAGAAAACAGGCATGAATGAAATATACTTGTAAAAACTGCTATGAAGTTCTATTAAAGTCCTATGTGACCACTATCTGAGCCACTACCTAGATTATATTAAATGTATTCATTGCACTATTATGTAACTATTGTATATCAATAGCCCCTAAACTCCCATTTCTTTCACTACCTCTGAATGAAATTCAAGTGATTTGAGAAGACAAAGATATTTCACAAGTATATCTCACATCTAGATGTAAACAACGGTGTGATTTGTCACAGTAACACAAAAAGCAGTAAGGTACAAGAAAAAGTGGAAATATTCAGTGTTTTGTTTGGAAGGCATTTGGAAAAAAAAATCTAGTAAAGTCAATGACATTTGCCATCCAGCAGCTTAACAATTGAAATTCAATGTTTCACGGAGGCAAAAGGGGGAGACAATGACACAGAACCAGGAAGGAAAGAAAACCAAAACCATAATGGAAGAGGGGAGAGCGTTCTGTAAGTTAGGAGATTTTTCAATGACAATTCTTTTGAAGATCAGCAGGTCAGGAACCTTCCAAAGAAACCCGAGTTTATTTTTACTGTTTATCTAATCAACAAAACTATTGGAAGCAACTTTTATTTTCAGAAGCCAAAACCTATCTATTGTTAGGTGATACATTTAAAAGATTCTGTTACACTATGTTGAGCCCTTCCCTCTGAACTACAATAAACTGGAAAAGAGCCAGGTGGTGGTGGCGCACGCCTTTAATCCCAGCACTTGGGAGGCAGAGGCAGGCGGATCTCTGTGAGTTGGAGGCCAGCCTGGTCTACAAGAGCTAGTTCCAGGACAGGAACCAAAAAGCTACGGAGAAACCCTGTCTCGAAAATCAAAATAAATAAATAAATAAATAAAAAATAAACTGGAAAAGACCCAGTGAAAAGTCAGAGGAAGAAGCAGAGGCAAGTGGATCCTGAATTCAAATCTAAGCTTAATTCCAGCTCCACCTGGACTAAAGAACCCCTGCAAGAAAGCAGACACGCGCACTCACACACGTGTACACACACACACACACACACAGACACACATGCACACACCCCAAAAAGCAGCCGCACTGAAATGATTAATTTTAAGAGATAAGAAAATGTCAATTCTTATCTAAGAAACCTACCAAAGGGAAGGTCGATGTTACTTAATTCTCTTTGATATAAAGACTCTTGAGAGCTAGGATACACTTAAGTGAAATTTCGAGAAAGCCTATCTTCAAATATTTCTTGAAAGGCAGTCCAAACTACGGAGTATGAACGGGGTCTTGCTAGCACAGCTTCGGCAACTGGCAACTCGTGAGCACAACCCCTTCCTCCCGCTGCTCTGCACACTCAAGATTTCTACAGGCCTTGGCCTAGTTGGCGGGGTTGTCTGCCAGAAAACACAGACTCAACAGCCAGGTCCTTCTCCAGTCATCCAATCCTAGGAGCACACAAAGGCCCGAGAGGTCCAACCCCTTCACTCGAATAAGAGCCTGTTACAGACGCCCCTGGTTCACTCGGCCAGCACCCTGGCATCCAAGCCCACCCAGGTCTCCCCAGTGCGGACACATCCGCCCACCCACAACCAGGGAGGGGAGGAGGAGCGTGACCCTGAGTGGGAAAAGTCCAGGCTTGCCCAGCTCCAGGGTGCGTGACCTTGCACGCGTTACCTCCTCGGTATCTCCAAGTCCCCCACCCCTGCAGACCCGGGGCGCTCCCGATCAGCGAGGGCACCGGGGCCAGCACCCACCTGCACGTTGGGGAAAGCCGTCTTGAGCAGGTAGAACATCTTGCGGTTGGACAGCACGTCGCCGCTGGTCATCTTGTCCTCGGCGCCCTCGCGCGTCTTCCCCTTGGACTTCTCGTGGAGGACATTGCTCTCGCGGACCCGCCTCACCTCCTGGCCGCCGCGCTCGGCCGCCAGCACCGCCACGGCCAGCATCTCGCGCAGGTCCACCGCGCCCCCGTCCCCGCCGGCCAACTCGGCCGCCCCTCCCGCCGCCGGCTCGCCGCCCAGGCCGAACAGGCTGAAGCGGCCGGCCAGGAAGCCAGAGTAGAGGTGGTAGAGCACCCCGAGCCCCAGCAGGAAGAACACGGCCACCCCCAGCGGGGACAGGCGGATGCCCATGGGGGCCATGGCGCGCGACCGGGCGCTAGGGCCGCCTCCGGCCCGCCGCTCAGTCCGCTACAACGGCCCCTGTCTCCCGGCGCCCGTGCGCGCCATCACCGCCCGGGGAAAGCCGCCCCGAGCCCCGAACCCCGAGCCCCGCCGCCCCTGGCTAGCAGCAGCCGGCCACTCGGCCTTCCGCGTAGGCCAACGGCCGAGAGGTGAAAGGGGAGCAAGGGTGTATATCCGGGTTACGTGAGGAAAGAGGGCGGGGAATAGTCAAATAGACCCCGCCCTTGGGGCGGGTCCATATTTGGGGGCGGGGCCCGAGCGAGGCCGCGTGGCATTTTAAGTCTGTCACGCTTGTGCCTCTACAATTGTTTGAAATAGAGCCGCGGTGACGATGGCTTCCCATCAGTCTGATGACTGAAAGCACGACGGAAAGGTGTTTTAGTACGAACCGACCTGAGCCTCTCCCACGACACGTGTGCCGCGGACCAAGCTGGGCGGGGCTGACGCCGAGGGAGGATTGTCATTTGCTTTTTCAGTTTTGCTGGGCTTGTGATGGCTGAACAGACGCTCTCAACCTGTGGGTCACAGACCCCTGTAGGGTTGCCATGGCCCTTTCACAGGGGTTGCACATCAGACATTTACATTACCATTCATAACAGTAGAAAAATAGTTATAAAGTAACAACAAAAATAATTTTACTGTTGAGGGGTCACCACAACGGAGGAACTGTATTAAAGGGTTTCAGCATCGGGAAGGTTGAGAAGCACTGGTCTAAATGGTTATGTGTTGATGTATAGATTATTCCGTCTCTACTTGTGATCCTCTAAGAAGCTGTGAATCCGAGCTACATGTGCCTAAGTTTTACTAGGGGGAACACTGAAGGATTCTTTTCCAAGGAAATTTTAGCACAGACCTCTGTACAGAGATTAAAGGGGAAGAATTACTAGACTGGGACCACTTGGTTTAAAGTATGTCGATTGCATCATTATGAGCCAATAGAAGTTCACCAAATGTGGTATAATGCAGATGTATTTAAAAGAAATAACTGCCTTCTACAATATCACCAATTCTCAATTTTAGTATTTAGTATTCAAAAGTTTCTATTCATTTTTAAAAGCACATCTGATGTTACACTAAATAGCCAGGCATAGTAGTTCACACTTGCAAACCCAACGCTCAGGAAGGCAAGGCAGGAGTGCTGTGAGTTCGAGATTAGCCTGGGATACATAAAAGTTCCAGGTCAACCCCAGCTAACATATAAGATTTGGCTTCAAAAACAAACAAAACAATGCATAAATAAAAAAATACAATTCCTAAATATTGTAATGTTTATATAAAAATCAAAATCTCACCCATTTTGCTCCTCAGTTAAAAAGCATTGGTATAAAGTGGATTTTTAATATTAGTCACCATAAAAGCTACAAGTATCCAAACTAATGGCTATCAGTTATTTGTTGACCTTTTAGTTTCTACACTGATCAGGCACTTTGATGATACCTAGCTGAAAATTAAGGGCATCTAACACTAACCGCCCAGGAGACTCAGTAAAAAGACAATCCCACAAGCACTGACAGAGAGCCTACATAACTGTATGATGCCATGGTGAGTAACATCACAACAGACCTGAAAGTGAGGTCATAGAGTAGCTGTGGATTTCCACCGTAGCACAGAGATAAAGCCCGAGCTCAGCTCTGTAGGGTAGGCTACCTCGAGCTGACACCAACCAACCAACCAACCAGCCAGCCAGCCAGCCAGCCAGCCAACCAACCAACCAACCAACCAACCAAATAAGACTGAGCTCAGCTCTGTAGGGTAGGCTACCTCAAGTTGACATCAACCAACCAACCAACCAATCAATCAATCAATCAATCAAACAAAAAACTAATTGCAGGGAAAGCTGAAAAGCGGGATGTCTGGTAACATCAGAATAAATTGAACAGTGCTCTGTGGTGATTTTAGGAAGAATTTAGGGGTGCATTCACTGTACATGGTCTCAGTGGGGTCACTGGGGGAGACAATAATAGGCCCTTGGACATTTCTACCACAGGAAAGGTATCTATTCCCCAAGGAAGAAAAGACCAAAGCTTAGAGAATGAGGTTAAGGCCAGGCAGTAGCGGTGCACACCTTTAATCCCAGTATTTGGGAGGCAGAGATAGGTGGTTCTCTGTCAGTTTGAGGCCAGCCTGGTCTACAAGAACTACTTTCAGGACAGGCTCCAAAGCTACACAGAGAAACCCTGTCTCAAAAAACAAAACAAAAAAAAAAGCAAAAAAAAAAAAAAAAGAGTTTAAAGACCATTGCTCTAAGAAAGACTTCAGTATGTGGTAATAAGTAATATTAAATAATGATAGAATAGTAAGAGAAAGTATGAGCTGATAGAAACATTTAAATACTTATGGATTACTGGGGAGGCGGGGAAAGGTGTCCTAAGGATTGAACTCATGGTATCTTAAGCAAGTAATCCATCACGGAGCATCCCCTCTTGCCCACGTATTTTAAAAACCTTTATAAAAATAGTAACAAGGTGTCAGAAGTTTCCAACATTATGTGAAGTGGCTGTTGATTAATTGGCACGTGATCCCAGGCAAATGGTCTTTTTCCTCAGTGTTGAGGATGGTGAGCATCACCTGACAGTGTGTACGAACTGAGAGCCATGAGAACCCACTTGGAGGAGGAACTTCCCTTAACTAGTTCCACCTACTCAGAGCTGGTGGCGAATCTGTTCGTTGAACTTGATGTGCCTCACAGTGGTCAGTTCTGCCTGTTTCCAGACCCCTTTTAATTATTATGTAGAACAAAAACTGTCAGCGCCAATTCAAAGCTAAAGGATTTCGGCAACTTCATGAAGATATTAGAGCAGAGTCTGGCTGACTTGGGCCGGGGAGGCAGTTGTGCAGCTTCAGTCCTGCTCAAGTCACATCTTCAAGCTTTCAACTGACTTTAAGGAAACTGAAGCCAGGGAGAGATACATTACATCTACGGAAGATGCACCTAGGGGGGTCACTCAGAGAAAGCCCTTGCCATAGATGAGAAGACAGATCTCCTGCCTGAGAACCGCGTGTTCAAATCCATGAGCCTAGGAGAGACACTTCTCATTCAAACTACCACAGATTCGCCACGTTTGAAAATCTCAATGGTTCTAATTCTTTCTATTTAATCTGTGACTAGCCAATTTAACTCATACCACATCCTTCGTATTTAAATAATAAAACCCACAAATGTGGGGGGATCATTTTAAATTCTTTATTTCAACCTATACTTCCCAAACATATTTTAACTAAATAATTAACTGCCAAACCAATGACAGCAGTAGCAATAAAAAACTGTCTCTAAAAAGCTAGAAGAAGATAACAATGTGTAGTTATGGATCACCTTAATTCTTAAGTTTCTAAGCTTAAAATACATTCAAGGTCCTAGTTTGTTGATTTTGAGCATTTGAGATTTAAAACATTGTATAGAACAATAAGGAGAAAGACCATGACAAAGATGAGCTGGACAGAGAGTTAAAGTGAGACAGGATGTATTGTTGGGGACCGGAGCTTAGGAAAAGGATGTAAAAACATGAGCAAATATAACTATTCTTATAAATGACAACACACACACACAAAATAGTAACCTATAAAATGCAAGGGTATTTTAAAACGATGTCCATGGAAAACAATCCTGAAGGAAATCGTTCACAAAAATTGTGCTTACATTGTTTATTGTTAGGTGGCAGGCATATGGGTAACATTTCTTGTTTTTTTATTTTTGTAAATGCAAAAAAAAATTTCTTTTGGGGACAGAGTTTATTATTTATTTATTGTATGTGTGCCTTTGTGTGCCCATGTTTGTATATGTCACATGTATGGGTGCCCACAGAGGTCAGAAGAGAATGTAAGGTTCCCTGAAGTGGACATTACAAGCCGTTGTGAGTTCCTTGCCATTTCTCACTTCGAGCCCTGAAGTTTCTCTGTGGTTTTCAACTGTATTTCTGAAAACTCTGCTATGATAGCATCATATTTTTCAGACTTCCAAGCCCCTTTCCTGTGCCCAGTGTCTACTCTGAGGGCGTTTCCTATTTTAGTAGCTCTCTGTGGCTTCAGTCAGGGCTCTTCAGCCCACATTGGCAGAAGAGCATCGTGGCGATGTCCAAGGACAAATTGCCTGAGCTTGTCTGCCAGCGTTTGTTTTCTCTTTGCTGAAAGGGCTTCCAGTTCTTAGGAAAGCTGACTTCTTACGGGGCTTGTCTAAACATTCTTCTCGAGCCTGCCACTTTTCAAGGAGCTCCTTAGATTTATTAACCTTAGATGCTACTGCTACTCTACACCATTTTTTCTTCTATACCCAATAGTTGAAACTGGACAGTTTATGAAGCAAGGAGATTTTTTTTGGGGGGGGGGTGGGGTCTAAGAGCAAGGTGCCGGTGGCTTCAGCTCTACTTTTGGTAAGGGCCTTGTGCTGCTGTATGCATTGTGGGAAAGCAGATATCAAACAGCCTGTGCAAAGAAACAAAACAGGATAGTGAATCTTTATATTTTTCATAACAAGCCACTGTGGTTGCTGTTCAGTCCCATGAGAGTAAGCTCACTTGAGGGAGATGGCATGCATGCATTCATGAGCTCTCCACCCTTATGGTTCAAATTCCTTCCACTAGGTTTCACCTCTCAACACAGCCACACAGAGGAAACAGCTCTCAGCATGAATTTGAGTATGGACAAATACACTCAAATCACAGTAGTGACCAGGCTAACTCAGAAATGCCAACATCTGTCCTCTGTGTCCTCCCCTCAAAGCCAGCATGTGTTTCTGTTACTCCAACCTCTTTCAGAGCTCCTTCCACTGGAGATCCGCCTCCCTGTAGTAATTGCCATGCTGACAGGCACAGGAAACCTCGGTGCATTACTTGGATGAAGACCCGATAGGCTACACTTCAGACAGAACTCCCATAGCATAATTGGAGGTCAGTTCTCCCTGCCAACCAACTATGCCTTCTGTGTTGTTTTGTCTATTGTGTGTGCACAGATGCACATATGTGTGCATGTGTGTGTGCATGTGTGTGTGTCCTTGTGTATGTGCATGTGTGTGCATGTGCATGTGAAGCTTAGAGGACAACTCAGATGTTACTTCCGAGGTACTGTTCACTTTTGCTTTTTATTTATTTACTTTTCAACATGGTCTTTCATTGTCCTGGAACTCACTAATTAGACTAAGCTTGACT